AAAAAAAAAAAAGCACTTCCTGGTTTACCCCTGTGCGACGCTGCCTATTATCAGCAATAATAACGATAATAACGTGCCTTTAAACCCACTAGGAGGTAGGTGGGACAGTCTGACCGCTACATATTGGGATGATAACAACTAATAACGGCCATTTAATGGGCTGATAACATCCGAAGCCGCTGAAGTAGCTCAGAGAGCTAAGAGGGTGTAAGACCATTTAGGCACTTAAATGTCAACAGGAGAATTTTAACATGTATTCTGATACGTACAGGGAGCCAGTGAAGGGAGGACAAAACTGGTGAGATGTGCTCAAACCTATGAGTTCCTGTCAAGAGCCGTGCAGCATCTTGGACGAACTGGAGACGTGAACTGGAGACCTGACTGACCCCAACGTAAAGCGCGTTACAGTAATTAGTGTGAAGCTCATCCTGGCACCCAATCACAACCTCACTGCAGAGATTTAGTTCATGTTTAAAACTGTCTAAAACCTACAATAGTCATGTGGAACAGGAAGTCTGCTGCAATCGTACTCTGCTGATTTTGTCAAGAAGCTGCAAAGACCTTCTGCAATCTGGCTGACTTGTTTATTTATTCATTTATTTACTATTTTTTCCTAGCATTGTTGTCATCTATGGGGCGGCTGTGGCTCCAGTGCAAGAGTTGGGGGTTTGAATCCATCAGCAGTCAGATGCTGAAGAGTCCCTGGGCAAGACACTGAACCCCTCATTGCCTCCCATGTGTGTCCCATCGGAGTATGAATGTGATAAAGCACTGATTAGTCTCTTTAGAATGATTTGTTCAATTAGCTTTTGCATAGATCTAGTAGAGAGTATGAATGGGTAAATGAGGACACAGATTGTTGTGTACAGTGCTTTGAGTATTTTGATAAGATAGAAAGGTGCTATATAAATACAGTCCATTTACCATCTATCTGAAATGTGTCTTGGAGAAAATAACAGACATTTTGGACAAATTGTGCTGCAAACATCATCATCATAATAGGTAAAAAAAAAAAAAACAACCTTGAAAGTATTTTTCAGCAAAGCAGCAGCATGTAAGAAGATTTACAGAACGCTTGACCATCCACACATTACAACATGCAGCTACCTACAGTACCGTCACTCAGGTGAAACAGAACAAGCCTGTCTCTACCTGTGAGTTTCTGAAAGAGGACAGGGTCATAGATAAAGGTGATTTGCATGCTGGTCCCAAGTTTCAATTTATTGTCTTAAATGCTTAAACTAAGTCTTTATAGACTTCTGGAAAAAATACGTAGACTATCTTTGCTCTTACTAAAGAGTAATCCGTTTTATGGTTGTGTGAGTTTTTGCCTTTAAAACAACAAATTATTAAGGACCACCTCAGGAGGTGCAAACTCTACATTTTGCCGCAGTCATCAATTTCTCCAGACCTAACCATCGCTGAACATCTCTGAAGACCTCAGAGGAGCCAGTGAGCCATGTTTCCCAAAGATCTACAGGGCATTTGCATGAAAAGAAAGAGAACATGCAACAGCTTAACCACTTCAGACAGGCTACCAAGAGGGTGGATGTATGCCTTGACTAGATGTTCATGTCAGCTGCAAACAGCGTATGGGGAGTCTAAAGAAAGAGGAAGTCTCTAAAAATGTGTACCATGGGGTGTTAAGTTAGACCACAGATTGAGATAAAGAAGAAGTTCCTTTGAAACTTGTTCTGAGCCGATTCCAAGTTGCAAAGTGGTGCCAAAGTGTTGACCACAGAGCATTTGCGATAAAGTGTTTGAACGTTTCCATTTAAGACCATTCCAACACTTTGACGCTGCGGCTAAACCATCTGTTGTTTTCAAAGTGAGTTTTAAATAACCAAGAGACTTTGCTCATATGAAATGTCATTTGTAGAAACATATATCAACTCTATCTTTATGAGTATAGTCCTAAATCTTCCGATTTATATTGTGCTGGCTTCAGAGACACTGAGGCTGCTGAGGAACCTCCTATGGTGCACATAGCACTTTTTGTCTCTCCATATTTTAAGTTGTTCTATGTATTTGTCATTATGGCTGCCAATAACTTGTTTTGATCATTTTATGACCTCAGCATCAAATTCCAGGTCTGTCTGTTCCTTAATAGATTTTCGTTTACTGTCACCTGTTTTCTTGTGGATCTTTAGGAGCCCACATACCGGGACACCTCAAGATACCGAGTCCACTACTTTACCACCTAAATAAATTCAAGTACCATTGCATCAATTCTTAAACCATTTGTCTAATAGATGAGTCCTAGCCAAAACTGGATCCACATGTTGTGCAAACAGAAGGCAGGAATTAAATAACCCAAGATCTTGCAATAGTCAAACACCATACCTGTCATAACGTGGGGAACCCAGATTTGTACGAGACCAGAAAGGACAAAATACGATTAGATAAGTGTTTATTATATACAGTGAATTATTTACAAGTGGTCCTCTCTTCGGAAGATCCTGGGGAAAAGAGTTGGTTCAGAGAAGGTCCACTGGCAGGATTGCACGTAGAGAATAAATGCTAGTATTTCTCTTACAGATGGTAGCGTTGATGTTAAGCATGGGTGGACAGGTGAGCTGGCGTGAGGCACAGAGAGCAGGAACCAGAGAAAACGGGGATTCCAGGACAGGACAGGACTCGAGGAAGCAGGATGACTGCGGGCACAAAAATAGAAGGTAAGTAACACTTTGTCCATCACAATGAATTACAGGCCAAAAGCAACAATACCAAAAAGGGTACAATGCTCCAGCGTCGAGTCACACTGGACTGCAGCCTTAAATAGTAGAGGATCCTCTTAGGTGGATGGATGACAGCTGGTGGTAATCAGCGGCCATCTTGGAGGAGGAGCTGCAGGCAGTGGAACTCTTACAATACCTAAGCCTAATAAAAACCTGTTTATGGAATTGTAAGGATCTGGGCTCAGTTATTTTTATGATTATACCTTGTGTTTGTCATTTTATTGCCCTGTCTCTGTTTTGTTCTGCTCCAACCTTACCCACACTCACCTGTTCCCAGTTGTCAAGTATTTGTGTTAATCTTCATTAGTGTGCAGCATGATGGCTGGTTAGCACTGTTGCCCCACAACAAGAAGGTTCTGGGTTCAATCCCCGGTTTGGATCTGGTGTCATTCCGTGTGGAGTTTGCATATTCTCCTTGTGGAGTTCTTCTCCGTGTATTCCACTTCTGTCCCGCAGTAAAAAAAAACATGAATGTTTAGGCTAGAAATGTTGCTGTTGTGATTCAGATTGTGTTGCACATCTAAAAACCTTTAAAACAAACATATAACTTATTCTTAATATTGCATTCTGTTGGTGATGTGATTACTGATTTATATTTACAGAATGAACTGTAAGTTATTATAGATGCGAATGCTGAAAAACAGCTTTCTTATTATTTTGTGCAATCAAGTGTGAGGGAAGTAAAATGTTGAGCACATTTATGTGATTGTGGGTGTTAAAATCTATTTCAGGTAGTTGGCAAAACCTGCTAGAGCTGCTCTGACTATAAAACTCTACGACCACGTCAGTTTTGTCACAGGTCAGAGACTGCTGTCCACAGTCGAGGTGAGCCTTCAAAGTTCTGACTTGTCTGCAACATTTGTGAACTATATGCAATGGTTTTATTACAAATTAAGATGTCATGATATGGTATAAATAATTTAATATTTAAAAATGTCAGCCCATAGATGTTTTATCTCCATCCTTGTTTAATTTTACTTTCAAATTTGTGTTGTTTCATTCAGATGGCAGACCTGTGGAAGCCTTTGCTTCTGTTGTTGGCGTGGAGTCCTCTGAGTTTCTCCTCCACAGTCAGCTTCACTGGTTCACCACAGGAATGTGAAAAGGCTCACTTTGTCCCAGGGTACAACCTGGGTGGGGAAGGCTTCGACATCGTCACCATGGAGAGAAAAGGTGCCTATGTCATCGACACCGAAACGTGGAACCTCGGAAATGGCACCTGCAGAATGTACAGCAACAGCTACATGAGAGGAGAGAAACAGAAGGTCCCAGTTGCTGTGGTGGACTGGAGAAACCTCCCCAAGTGCACCATGACAGTCTCCAGTATGCTGTATGATTCTGTCGAAACGCTCGTCAATGATTCCACATCGTCTGTGTCCAACGACTGGAAAATTGGTCTAGATATCCCAGTGGATCCTTCAGCGAGTGTCGGGGTTGGTTTCGGAGGTTCCCACTCCAAGGCAGCAAAGTTTGGGATGACAAAGTCCAAAGAAGACCGCTACAGCTTTGTTCACCATTCTGTGGACTGTAACTTCTATCGGTGAGTATGAGGACAGACTAATGTTATAAACAGGCCTTAATTTGAACTGGGTCTTGCTGGAACAAGATTTGGGAACCCTCTCATTTGGTCAGGCTGCGTTGCGTCAACTGTTTGCTTGGATCCGGCAACTCTCAGACTTATTAATAATAAAGTTATTATGACAAATATGGCTGTCTTGTCATTTTGGAAGCCATGCTTGAACCGTGTCGCTCTCCTCTGCAGCTGAGATGATAAATGAATAACTCAGACACCTCCGCTGCTGTTTTTTACGATGCTCTGGATGCTTGTCACCCACATCATGCATGCAGCAAAGAGTATAAACTCAAAATGAAAGTGATAACTGTCCCCTTTTTCCTCTTTTGCATTGACAAAATGTTTTAATTTAACTGATGAGTTTGTCAAAGCACAAATTTGATTTGGGTTTCACACTTTGTCCTTCCACTACACTTTCCATTGATATGCTTGGACACAGCACTCTGTGAACAGCCAGCCTCCTTAGCTATGAACTTTTGTGTCTTACACATCCTATGGAGGGTATCGATGCTCTTCTGGCCAGTTGTTATGTCTGAAATCTTCCCCATATTGAACCAAACTGAGACAACTGAACCAAACTGAAGCAATTTAATGACACCTGGGAAAACCTGTGCAGGTGCTTTGAGTTCAGTAGATGATTAGTGTCACACTCAGTTTAAAACATTCATGCCCTGCAAAATTTGGGCTGATTTCTCCACAGTATTCTAATTTTTCTTCTTGTCTTCGTGCGACTTAGTTCGCTGTGGCGACCCCTAATGCAGGGAGCAGCCGAAAGAAGAAGAATTTTTTTTAAAATAATGTTTTGAAATCCTGTTTTCGTGGGTTTCATGAGCTGGAAGCCCAAATTATGTAAAAATAAACAAATAACTACTTGAAATTGTTTAAGTTGTGGGCCCTGAATCTATAATCTATTAAAGATTAACTTTTTGAACGGAATTATTGACGTTAAACAACTTTTACATGATATTCAAATTTTTTGGAAAGGATATATATATATTCATATATATATATATATACTTTGTATATAGTGTAGTCTATCTTGGATTTTGACTTGTGGTAACCTAATTTTTGATATAGACTTTTTATACACCTAGATGCAGTCAGACAGAGAAATGGAAGTGCTTATTTTCCAAGTTATCGTGCTCATAAATAAATAAATAAGTGCTGTGTGATGTCATCATTGTATGTTCCCATACAGTGGTGAAACTCTGCATTTAACCCACTGCTTCACCTGGGAGACACCCAGGTGAAGCAGTGGGCAGCTGTGTAAGCACCCAGGGAGCATTTGGGGATTGTGTGTCTTGCTCAGAGGCACCACGACAGGTGGGAATGGTTGGGGATCGAACCTGGGGCGTTCCGATCCCGAGTCGGCTGCTCTGCCTCTAACCCATCTCGGCCCCCATAACACTAACGAACAGGCAGAGTATATATAATTCCTCTCTTTTCTCTGGAATTTGGGCCAAAAATAAAGAATAGATAAAAACAGCATACTCAGCCAAAAGGAATAATGAATGAGAACACATGTAAACTATAGCATCTCCTTTAATACATCCTATTAAAGTGAACATTCGACAAACTTCACAGTAAAAAATCCTTAAAGCAAAAACAACAACAGTAATCTACTCTAAATGCGACTGTAAGGAACATTTTTTTGTCTTTCTCTGCTCCACAGTTACAGAATGACAACAAACCCTCCCCCAAGTCATGACTTCCTGTCAGCTGTGAACTCACTTCCTCCTTATTCTGCTGCGAAGGCGCCACTGTATCGTGATCTGATCGACACCTTTGGGACACATTACATCACACAGGTGTCTCTAGGGGGAGCAATAAAAGCAACGACTTCTTTCAAGACCTGCTTGGCGTCCATGAGTGGTCTGACAGCAACAGATGTCGGCGATTGTTTGTCAGTTGAAGCTTCGGCAAGCTTTGCAAGCAGTGCTAGCATTAAGGCCATGTCCAAACACTGTCAGGAAAAGAAAAAGAACTTAACCTCTAGTCGAAGTTTCAGCTCTGAGTTCAGTGAGCGATTCACAGAAGTCATTGGTGGGGATGAACACGACGTTCTGTTCTTTCAAGATGATTCAAACACCGATGCCAAAAAGAACTGGCTGAACTCCCTCAAAACCACACCTGATGTGGTCCAGTACAACC